ATCATGTTAATTTCAGTAAAAGTATTATGTATTAGTATTATGCCCAGACTAGGACTGTAACTAATGATTATTTTGTAATTATTATTGTTTGATTAATCGATTAATAATTGGACAGCCAAAGGTTCCTTAAAGACCTTTTTTTACAGAATTCAACCAGGTAATTGAAATAATCAATGAATCATTTAGTAATCGATTAATCGTTAACTGGAATCTAAAACTTATCTTTAGCAATTATATCAAAATCGTAAAAAGAAATGTGTTTTGCGTTTAAGATTTTAAAAAACGTTTTCGTCTGCCATTATGCTCTATCCAGAACTCCTTAAGTGGAAAAGTTTTAGTTTCACCTGGTTTAATTTCATAAAAAGTCTTCTTTAAGGAACCTTTTGCTATCCGATTATTAATTGACAGAATAATCCATTTGCAAAATAATCATTAATATCAGCCCTACTGTAATCCCTTTTAATATTTACATTCTGGATGTCGTAAAGATAGCATGTGTGGCTGCAGCTTATTTCCATACATTTTGTACTGCAGTGAGAGTATTTGGTTTAATTTTCCAACAGTTTGTGGCTCAATTCTCTGATGTAAGGCAGGGCATTTTCCAGTGGGGCTGTCTGATGAGCATACTCTTGTAGTTGTTGCAGAGTGCACAATTATACACCACACTAGAATAATTTCAACTCCCTAAACTAAATGGTGGAAATTGCATTAGAGATGTTTCCTTTCCACAGCTAATACTGCTGGGGCAAACTAAATATAAATGACCTTTTTAAAGTACTGCCAACGTATACCAAGATAGCTCCTATTATTAGATATAGGTTTTATTGATCTTTTTCCTTCCCTTTGTGTTATATCTATAAGGTTTTAGTATAGAAGTCTCTGTCTTTGTCTATATTGTCCTTGCAGACTGTAATGAATCTTCCAGGAGGAGGCAGATCTGAAGAGTATCAGCGCATTAAGAGAATTAATATTGATTTTTAAAACAAAGTTGACATGGGGTTTTTAAATTGACTCGAGAAATGCTTCACTTTAAAAAGTCTCAGTGTGTAGTTTGTCAGTGGAGTGGAGAGAAACTTTACACTCCATTTGTGATGTAATAAGTTTCCAGTGAAGGCTTTCAACACTTAAAAACAGGCCTTTTAAAATGGTGTGGACGACTGTAGCTTCATTTAAAGCTTGACCAAATTAAACCATCTTATTGTTCATGAAACTCATTAAAAAAGTATAATTTGCACAAGAGAAAAAAATATTTCTACTTGATTTTTAATCCTGAGAGGTTATTTATGATGTTTAAAGCTGAGCAGGATTCCCGGTGCCTTTGATGGCAGTTAAAAGAAGACAGCAGGCAGTCTCCCTGTAGCAGCTGTGCTTGCAGGGTTTAAGTCTCAGCGGCCAAATTTGCATGCTCAGTGGGCCGTTGGAAGGAATACCCCCCCCCAAACACCCCCCGGCTGCTTGCCCCGCTTTTGGTCTGACAGAGACAGATCATACAGACACCAGTGTTTTCCTTTCCTAACTGCAGCCCATCAACCCATCAATCCCTTTGACATGATATTTAATAACTGAGCAACTGATCCTTGACTCAGATTTATGTAGTGCAAGGAGATTTCCCTCAGATTTTCAAAAATTTTCCATCAATGCCTATTAGCTCCTTTACAATGCCATGCCTTCAACTTTTTTTTTACGTTTTACTACAATACAACCTCATGCTTTAGGGTATATTATTTTGTGTTTTGTATGAGAGACCAATGGAAATCATTGAGTTATTAAACACTGAGTATGTCAGAAGACAAACACTATATGAACTCCAAATATGTGAACAGGAACGCTTGCTGCAGTTTTCATTTTTGAAAGATTTGTAAGCCAATTTTCACATATGCCGGACTTTATGTTGGTTATAAAATCCTATGAAACACGTTGAGTGTTTCGATGTTTTTGGCCTTTGAACAGGTTTGTAAGATGATCTGCTAATGCAATAAGTATTTTTGCCCTTACAACAAATAGATACAGTATTTGCAATTAAAATAAGATAATGGAGCTTCTGTTTATTTTTTATTCTAGATATAATTGTTCTTACATTTCTTAGTTATTTACTTAAATTAATTAAAATGCACTTCTTTTAAGAATATTGACTTACTTATATTTTTTTCTTTTATTTCAGTGACAACGCCAGATCAAAATTAAACCTTCTGTTATAACTATTGATATTTATTAATTCACAAATTATTTTATCCTGCTTAATTACTCTACTCCATTTAAATGTTCTTAGTACCTAGATTTTATCGATTTCGGAGCATGTTTATCTACTGAATGTTCTGCAGAATCTTGCCTGCAGGATCTCTAAAGCCGAATCTGATGAACCTGAAACCTGGTTCACATGGAAAGTTTTTTCAAGTTTTTGTGTAATCTCTAAAACCTAAGACGCCTCACAAATGATGATAGAAAATCATCAATATTACAGGTGCAATACATTACACAGATCCTACAGTGTCATGTATTGCCACATTTCAATCGCAGCACATTACACATGAACAGATTTCACTCCAGGAAATGCAGATGTTAAACAGGAAATCTTAAAAAACTTAATGAGATTAAATGTGAGGTCAAAGTAAATAGACATGGCCAACAAGGAAAAACGCAGATGCTTTGTGGATTCATTGTAAAAATGACAACAGAAGACATTGAAAGCACGGGGCTCTTTGGTAAACTGGTGGATTTGTGTTGATGGGTTGTGTGAAAATGCTTTCTGATTGGCTACACCTCATATTCATCAATATATGTTTTTCTGTGCTTTGGGAACACCACACACAGTACAGTACCAGGCAATCCAACATGTTGAATATTACCAACTTGCGATCAGCGCAAGGACATCCTTATGATTGTCAGAAAAGACAGATTGGGGGACAAATTGGGCTCAGTGTTTTTTTTTTTTTTTTTTTTTCCCCGAACCAATCTTAAGGGTGTGAGCTTTCAAACTTTTATATTCCTCTGTTTTTTTTTTTCTTGAAGATTTTCAGGTGTTGAAATCTGTCTCATTTACAGCATGAATTTTCATGCTGCTATTAATTATAATAATGTGCTGAAAGGGAATGAAACATTATCAGATCAAAGATAAGTGCGTACTCACCCTTCTTAACTGGTTTAAATGCATCAGCCAACTAATGAACTTCAAATGGGCTTCAAATTAAAGAAAAACAAGAATAAATGAGCTGAGAGGAGTATCATAGATTCAAATCCTTTCACAAATGTGCTGTGCATGATTAGAGGAAGCAGTTGCTGTAAAGTCATGTTACTACATGTATAGAGATGGTGACTTGGGTTCTTATTTTATATGAGGATGACAGAAGGAAACTTCAGTTGGGTCACAGATTTGCTTCATATGGCCTTTTGGTGAATTAGTGGGAACAGGAACATCAGGATTAGATTTTTAAGAACAATATTAATACAAGGTAATTTCAGTTTAAGGAAAAGTCCGTTCAGCAAAGGATGATCAATGGATCATTATCTATACCTAAAACTAACATATCCGCGGTGATTTAATGAATTTAGCTTTATCAGTAAAAAAATGTAAATAATAATTTTCATCATGATCACTGATTTAACTTCCAGTTCATCTATCGCAAAAAGAAAAAATGTGTGAGGATTATTTTCAATCACTCCATTACTAATAGCATCTCCTCCTTGGTCTCTAATCTTTGCCAACTCTGGCCTCGCATTCACAAAAAAAACATTAATTCTATTAACTACTTTGTTCATATCATCATTATCCCAATGGTTGTCAGTAAAATATTCTAGATATCTCATTGTATTTGTCCCATTTTTCCTTAGTAGAAACACATTATTAGAAACAGTTTATGTCGTTTTTTTACATGCATTTTTAAGACCTTGGAGAACCATGGTCTATTTTTGTGTTTGCTTCATTATTTTAACTGGACAATTTTTATTTAAGAATAATTTATATATCCGAGAATTTATTATATGCCCTGTGCACATACAGTATTCCACTCTATAAACAACTTTCCAATCCTGTGATAATAAGTCATATTTTTAGTGTGGTAATTGTATCCTCTGTTCTTAATTTCTTATGAATAACTGTGCCACTTTGTCTTTGACACTAGTTCTGATTAATCTCATTATTGACCTTGACATATATAAATACAGATAAGTATTCCCTATTATATTTATTACTATATAACTTGCCATATGTCATCAATATTATTAGTAAATACATTGTCTATTAGGCTTATATAGTGACTTGGGGTATGTTTATATTTAAATTCTAATGACTTTTTTTTTTTACAACTTTTTACCTTTTACAATCATACTTTGTGCAATTTTATCAATCTTTTGTAAACCCGCTCCTTTTTATTTTTAGCTTAAATAATTCTAATTTTTACCTTACAATATATTTTTTTTGTTTTGAGGTGTGTAAACGTTTTTATCTATTTTTCTTACTAACAATAAGGGTATTTTTCTTTTGATTGATTGTATCTTTTTTTTTTTCTCCTCACTGTACATGTGAAGATGTGAAGATGTGATTGTGCTGCTTTATAAGACATTTTGCAACTTCATTGGTGTCTGTTATTATAATGCCACAAATGGCAATAAAGGAAAAGTACACCCTGTTTTTCCCAATGTGTTTAAAATGTTTTTCCCTGTATATTTGCTCTTCAAGAGTTAAAACTGTAGAGACGCAAGGTGTTCACCCAGCAGTGAGGATCTGCTGGAGTGTTCGCTTATTTAATTTGATTGTGACTGCCAGACTGCAGCGGCCTAGCTAAGTGCTTTGCCATTAAGGCTCTGTTCTGTGTTTAATTCCTCCACAGAGCAGAGGCTCGTGGGTATAATGACAGCCGGCAAACTGTCGACTCTACAGTAAATGTTTACCATCTTGTGTGCTACCTTGAAAATAAGCAAACAGCCCCTCTGTGATCTCCTTAATTAAGCTAATGGATGCGGTCACATAACCTCTGATCCCACCTTTTTCCTTCCGTCTGCAGATTTATAATGAGAAGAAGAGCCAGTTTGAAATCAAGAGAAACAACCCCAAGGATCTGGTGGACAGAGTGGCACGGGAAATCTCCAGGCTGCTAAACAGTAAGAGTAAAGCCTTAGAGGTAAGAGACGCCTCCCATTTTGTGACACCTGTCTTCAAAACACACATCTCCCACATGCATAATGGAGTCTTTGAATTTTCAGCTGCTTTTCATACAAATAAATGACATGCTTCTGTCTCAAAGAAGGAGAAATGGAAAATGCAAATAGTAATAACAGTAGTCATACCCTCTTTATTTAACTGGTAATTTAAACATTGACCATCAGGTTATCTTTCAAATAACCTCTGCAGCTGTATTTACCCTGAATCTAAACACAAAAAGATCAAAATACTGTTGACACTGCATAAAAATAAAGAATTTGGTTTAGCCATATTCTTGTTACTTTCAAATCTCTTTTGGCAAAATAAGTTATTTTTATTTGATGTTTAAATGCAGATAATTATGTTATAATACATGGTTAATGTGCAGCATTGCAAGTTCTTGCCTATCATAATGCCTTTGGATTCAGTTCTAGGATCAGGATAAAAGTCCTGCCTCAAGTTGAGTTACCCAGAGTAGTTCATTTGTTTAAAATAGTTCTTTATGTATAACTGCACTCAAAAGATGTTTTTTCAGCTGTTAGTATCTCTGTATCTTTATGATAGTGCTCTTCGTTCAAACAGGTTCATGCATAAGATCCGAAACATTAGGAGTCTTACTTTGCAATGAAAATGAAAATGAAGGGTTTATATTCTATTGTCTTTATCATTCAATTCTGCAACCGTTATGAGTTCTTCCCAATGTTTTTATTATTCAACGCATATATTCTGTAGATGTGTTGTCTGAAAAGGTTATCATTTTAGTGTGGTGGGCTTTGGTATATAATTATTGCCACTGTTATGCTCAGGCAGGCCCTGTGATTAGTTGAAAATGTGTTTCATTCTTTCAGACGGAAACCTCTCGCTGCTTGGAGTAAAACGCTAGGGTGGGGTTATACTTACAGGAGAGATGAGTGACATGGAGGGAAATGAGAAAAGTACAAATAATCAATTTTTAATTTTAGAAAGCTGGGGAGAAAGTAGAGGAGCACCAATTGGGTGGAACTGCATTTTAAAATCAAATTTAGCTTTCACCATAAATGCATTTTGCTCCTTTCCTCTTCTTAGGCACTGCAGGATGTAGTTGTCTTTTTTATCTATCCATCAATCAATATACAGTGGCCTATAAAAAGCTATTTTTACATTTTGAACTTTTTAGGAACTTGTCTCTTCAGAATACCAAAATCCTAAAATGTTTGTATATGTTTAATGGAAGAGAGATTAAGCTAAAATCCAGGGCAATCCCTGTTTAAGGCTGAAAATCAATGAGTATAAGGTGCAGTCTCACCTTCCAGCTGAGCAGTAGTCCATGTCATACAGTCAGTGGTTGAATGGAATCAAAGCTTAATGAGTTATGTTGCATTCATACTAAATGGGATTTTAGAAATCAGAATGAGCAATTTACATGTTATCCCTCTGTACAGTTGTTTTCAGCAGCAATGAAAAAAGACGTGCTTTTAGCTTTGCAAACGGTCCGATTAGGGCGAGCTCCGGGAAAACAACACCAGTGATGGATTTGCAGCAAATTCTGCAGAAGTTGAAAACTCTGAAATTGAGTGTAAAGATGTGTCGCTACAGCCAATAAGGGACTGGATGCGGCTATAACCGAGGTTGAGGTGGCACTATGGAAACTAAGCTTTAAATTAAATGGAAGGTGCAAAAAATAGTGTTGACATATGACGAGGTAAGGAATGCTTTAAAGAGGTTGAACTTGGATGTCACATTAGCAGACAGTACGGGAACTTCTGAGCTATAGAAATTCAGGAAAACAGGCTTACAGATGCATCTGCGCTCAACTGCTGCACTGAGGTGTCAGTCTGCTCATCAAACGATTTATTAGTCAAAAAAGGTAAAATAAAAAGATATTTTTCAGTTAAAACTGACATAATGTCTTTTGAAAATGAAAAGCGACATTCCAGCATTTCTCCTTTGGCCAAGTTCAGGGTTGGACTTGGAATGGTAGTGACCATTCCACTGCAGTATCTCTCTTTATCAGCTATTTGCCCCTTCCTTCCAAATTTTCCCAGCCTGCACGTTCCTGACTATACCCACAGTCACATGCATACCTCCAGACTGTCACCTTACATTCTGTCTATGAGATTCAGACTCAGGGGGATGGCGGGAGGAGAAAAAGAGACGATATGATATGAGAATGTCTCCCTGGGGCATGGCAAAAAAAAAAGAAAAAAAAGAAAGAAATTGATGTTCAAAAATTCATAGTTTTAAAAATGTGCAGCAGGCAAGAAGGGAATTGGAAGACTGGCAGATTGGAGGAAAAAAATCACAAGAAAATTAACATTTTTATAAAAACCCCAATTAGAGAACAAAAATCATGCTGTAGGTCAAGATATAAAATTAAACCAGGTTATGATTTTCTTTTATATTTTTCATCCAACTGGATATTTAAGACTGTAGGCAATATATTTATATGGAATTATAATTTATTCGGGGAGGAGAAAAGTGAAAGCCATGTCTTAATGCAGTATGTAGATAAGAAGGTCTCACACTCTCCTCGGCACAGTGTTGACAGTGTTTAATATTCCCGACTGTTTCTGCACCCTGTAATGGTTATTTAGTCTCCAAAATTTTCTGCGACACATTTAAGAAAGGGAAGAGTGTGTATGTGTGTGTGTATATTTATAGGAAGTGTTTGCATGCGTGGAAGGAAGAAATTATTCTTCTGCAGCCTATTTATTTGCTGCTTCGGGTGGTTCTTTGTAGTTCATGTTTATATTACTAATGAGGAAATTCACATTGAGTCTAGACACTAGGCACTGATTTATAGTGGCACAAAAAATTTTTCTGCATTTCCCACAAGATTCCTTCCTCATTTTTAAATTAGCAGTTGCCCTTAATCATTTAAAAGCCCCTCTTTTTAAAATTTAAGTTCAGTTTGTACTTTTAATGGATGTCTGTTCAGTTCTGTCATTGTTGTAGCTATTAAAAGCAGTGCAATTATGCAGATTTCATTTTGCTTTATGTTTCAGCTATAATCTCTACATTGATTGTAATCAATATGATAATGCATAAAGCCATATATAAGGTATCATTTGGTTTGGGATGCACTAAATGTACCCCTTACCCCAAAAATGCAGATGTATGATCTGACTTACTTTTTACTTAATTTTACTCTTTAAAAGCCGTCCCACTTTTTGTTCTCCTTCTCCCTTTGTGTTTCCCTCACTCTGAGTCTGTTTGCTCTTCCTTTCTTGCTTCTGGCTTTAGTCTTCTTAAACACGGATTTGATGCCATGGTCGTTGCCAAAATTAAAATGCTGCATAAAGCCACCACTGGCTAAAAAAGCTTGCATGTTGCCATTGAAGATTCGATGCAAAATTTCTTTTATTATTATTTTTTTTTTAGTAAGATTCATTCCAGGAAAAGAACAAGTAGAAAAAAAACAACAAAAAAAGAAAAAACACCTGGCCTCATGTTTTGATTTACAGAATATTTCAATGCAAAGCAGATTTGGAAGAACAGTAGAATGTGCTGTGGAAAACCGTTTTACTGACATATTTGTACTGTTTTAGCTCTTTTTTTGTCACATATAATGTTTCATATCTTCAGACAAATTTCAACATCCTTGATATCCTGAGTGAAATCTGGCTGTATTGAACATCGCTCCTTTTAACCTAAGGATTGCTTGAGTCACCTTAGGGAGCAGCAAGTGCCATTAAAGATATTTGACTAGGCTACTATCTTTTTTTTTTTTTCAAATTAAGCAATTCGGCTTTTAATTATATTTCATATAGATACATGAAACATGCCTATGTATATAAATTTGTTTATGTGTAATATTAAACACATTTGACCAATTAGATGGACTCTTTACTGCCCTTACCTATTTATAAGATATATATATATATATATATATATATATATATATATATATATATATATATATATATATATATATATTAGTGCTGTCAAAATTATCGCGTTATTATCGCGTTAACGCGAGGCCATTTTAATGGCGATAATTTTTTTAACGTGAGATTAACGCTATGTGGTTTTATGGTACAATTTTCCAAGTACATCCCGCTGCAGCCTGCGGGAAGGCGGGGCTATTTTCCCCCTGTCTATGCATTTTCCATAGGCTTCGAGAGCGGAGCTCCTCAAGGAAAAAAGACGCTCATACACTCGGTAGCGCTAGTGCCTTTTCTTCAAGCCCCACCACCAACAAACAAGTTGAGTGTCTGGTGCCTATAGCAACCTGAAATACGCTGAGAAAACAGATTACTGAGGTGAAATGGAATCTGCTACGGCACTCTTGCTGTCTGTGTACGCCACAGGTCAGTATCGTGTGTGTGTGTGTGTGTGGGTGTGTGTGTGTTCTCATTTTTGTTAAGAGGCTGAAAAGTAACTTTCTAGAGCATAGACTACCTCCATCTAGTGATGTCGGTCTATTGATTTTGATGTATTGATTGAAAATTGTTCATTATTACCTTGGTTAATTAACATCTAATGTTAACTCTACTACATTTTATAGCAGTAGGGTAAAATGCTTGTCTTTGTTCAAAAGACTGTATTAACTGTAAAGACTGTCTTTTACATCAGCCTGTTTTCAGGGCCTTTTTTTTGGCTACATATTTGTTATTTTTTGCTACATGCCTCCCCATCTTCCTGCCATATGTTTCTATGGCATAAATCAGTGTCTGTGACCTGTTTTCATTCAAAAAAAAAAGAACATTGGCACAAACCTAGCCTGTATGTATTTTTTGTATGTCATCAAGAGTATTTAAATGATTTTCAATCAGAAAAAAAATTTGCGATTAAAATGCGATTAATCGCGAGTTAACTTAGGCATTGATGCGATTAATCGCGATTAAAAAAAATTTAATCGATTGACAGCACTAATATATATATATATTCAGTGCATCACGATTGTAGTCCTTTTGCAGGCAATTATTGGCCTTTTTATGTATTATTCTACTTTTTGATCTCTAAATAAGTTTTTAAGGTAATCATGTAGTTACAGACACA